TGTTGTCGTCATTGTTGAACGCATATGACGTCGTGTAAGAACAAATAAATTAATTAGATTACCAGCATTTGCAAGAAATGATAAAATAATACTTATTATACCTAATGTCCAAAATGCAAATGATGAACGAAAATCATTTTCGGCAAGTCGACTTGGATCTTAAATTTATTATTGAAAAATAAAATAAAATTTATTTCAATTTCAATTTACTTTACCTTCACTGCAATTCATTGAGATTATTTTTTCAAATATTAAATCTAATATAATAAAATGAATTAAATTTCGATTGAAAATCTCTAATTAATTGAATTTCGTACGTCGACTAGGAATATATTTCATGAATAAGAGAAATATATATAGTTGACAGATGCACTTCTTCCTTCGAATACGTCTAAAAGAAAAAGAGATGAAAAATAAAACTTCTAGTATTATTCTCAATTAATAACAACGCATTACAGATTTTCAGTAAAGACTATCGTAGGAAGCGTTTTTCTCTTATAGTTACTTTGCTATAATTTTCATATGAAAGTATTATGGATTTAACTTAAATTTTTATTTTAAATCCTGCAAAACAATGCATCTATTACATGTATAACTAATTAAATATTTACTGACGACAACACGACTCACATACAGATGTGTTCTATATTGCTTTTTTTCATAGAGAAAAATGACTTTTCCTATTTCTATTGAGAGATAATAATGAAATATATCGTGAAAAACTATTTAGTTCATAGTGAGTACGTATTAAACGAATTATGTGTGCAATCTATGTATACATAATTAAATACTCTATTGATTGCATTAAGTTCAGAATACTTTTCAAAGTAACTTGCTAATTGTATGCTACAGAATCTGCTAAGCATTTAGCAAATTAATTAATTGAAAAAAAAAATTTCATAGACTACCTTAGAAATTAGACAAGTATCCTAGTTGAAACCTTAAAGTTATATGTATTTATTGATGAGAAAACGTTTCCAAGTGTCAAAACACTTTTGAGTCATTATGATGTGCATTATGTAGGTCTTAATGCGCTATAAATATTCTAAAAACATCTCGGGCCATTAGGTTATCTCTGTTAAGATATTGCATTTTTATGGCATTTTTTAGCACAATATCGTATTGCCATTTCAGAAATAGCAAGAAAACTGACTTTCGATCTGAGACGTAACACATTCCATAGAGACAAGCTTTAATTCTCTTTTCTGAAAAAAAAGGATGTCATATGAGGAAGTGTATATATGTGCGTAGGTGTAGGTTGGATGAAAGTGCTAGTTTCGTCGCTATGGTTGTAGCTGTGGACGTGTGGGGATAATGCAAGTCTGGGTGTGCGTGTCGCTGGTTTGCGTGAATGGTCTTGATGGTTGATTGTGGATGTGAATGTGGGCTCTATGATAGTATGAGGATAGACATGTGGTGTGAATTTGTGTTTGAATAGTTTGAGTGTGTATATGGATTTTGGTTAGACTACTGGTCAGTTGTGTTGGTGTGGATGAATAGGTATACCACGTTCATAGCTACTCTTAAGTGAGTTCCACCGGCGAGCATTTCATGTGTATGTTAGCTGCATAGAAATTTTATAATTATGTAGTATATAATTGGAAGTTTTTATTAAAAGAGATTTTAAAACTGTACTTAAGTTGTTTCATTGATAGAAAAATATAGGTCATATTTTGAGAACGGCAATATAGAGAGAGCAGACAACCAAAAAATTTCAGTATCTACTTATTCGGATGCCCAAGCACATAGATTATTCATCCGATCGATCAAAAACCGAACTTTTAGTTTTTAACAAAAACTCTTTCTATTAGAAATAGTTGACAGAATGTTTTGATGAACGCTACCTGTGGATTTTTAAATACTACTAATTTTTGTTTTTCTTCCTTGTTTTTGTTCTATTTGGGTAATATTCATGGTGAGAGACAGTAACTAAATAAAACAGTAAGATGCATACTTGTGATTTAATAAAAAAAAGTTGATTGATGAATACGTGTTAAAGTGTTTGATGTTGGTAATAAACTTGCCGACTTGATTAATATGGGTCTTACAATAATGATGCTGATATTTGTTCTTGTTCGAAATCATGATTCTTGTTGGAGAAAAACATACTTTTCGATGTATTAATAATTTTTTCTGGAATAACACACGAAGAGGCTACTTTGAATTTCTTATTTATGTCAATAGTTGTAGTATAGAAAGTAAAGTAAGAAAAATATGCATGGTCGCTAAACTTTCCTTTTTCCTCACATATTTCTATCACAACCTGACATTACAGGTTGATCTAAACTTTGAGATTTTCTAGTAAAATCCCTCGTTATTTTAGAGAAAGCCATCGATAGATTGAGCACAATCCTGATAAAGTCCTTGTTTAACCTATGGAATATCCTGGAAAGTTCTCGATCTGAATTTTCTATGAGAACCCATGTGCTGCCTAAATCAATTCGTGATTCTATCATAATGATTAACTGTTCAGGATTTTGATAAAATTCTGTCGCACAATTTGTCAAGGCCCTTAACAATTTCGAACTACGTGCTTGTATCAAGATTTATGAATATCCTAAGTTCATGCTGAATCGATGTATAATAACCATATGGTCGGAGTTCTAATGAAATCTTGTTGAAAAGTTTCTTTTTCTGGATCATATAAAAATTGAAAACATTCCTGGAAACCGAAATCGTCAAAATTTAAACTAAGATCAGCATTAAAACTTTGCCAGATCCTGTTGATTCAGGATTCTTATCTATCAATGAATGATCTGCTCAAGAATGACTAAGAATTCGACTACAAGAAAAACCGTAAAGTATACATTCTAAGAAGACTTTTGAAAGGAATTTGTTGTAATTTTGAAAGAAATCTGTCATATATTTTTGACAAGATTCTTATCTGAAACTTCTTTCAACATTGACAGGATCCTGATATTAAAACACTAAACAGATTCAGAAGAAGAACTATAAAAAATACTAGAAAGGATCCTTATTTTCTTTCTTCGCAAGGTTTTGACCAAGATCGTAACTGAGTCCTGAGAATACTAAGAATTCTCTTTCCACAAAAAATAGAATTGATTGTCATGAATGACTTAAGGCCCTTCACAGTAGACTCTCTACTTGGAATGGTCCATTCTGATTGAAATTTTCAGGAATGAGTGGTCCTATTGAGAAGCACTTGTGACAAAACTTTAGCTCCATACGTCAAACTAGAGTCAAATTTCGGTTTATTTGTAATCCATTTATGATCTTGAGGAGAATTTTTATTATTTCGTTATTACGAAACGTACAGAATTTTGAAATTCACTTCCATTCATTTTTTTATGATTATTTTAGTGCATATGATATTAAAACAAGACGAAAAAAAGGTCACTTCACAAGCCCTAAATCTTGCTTTTCTCAACACTGAAATCAACTATAAATAATTTGATCGGACAAAAACTTGCACTCATGTAAATCTTTAAAACCAAAAAAATATTGCTTATATCTTGAACCAGTTGATAGGTATTTCAATTTTTCTGAATGAAAGCAATGTTTTTTCATTAAGATCTAGGAAAAATCATATTAAATGATATTTTCATAATATAATTCAATGACAGTTATGAAAGCAGGTAAGAGCAGACGTCAATTAGCATCATCTGCTATGCTTAAATCATATAAGAATGTTTATTCAATACTGATGCACATAAAGCAGTAGTTTACTTATAACTGAACAGCTTTAAAAACAACGCGATAATTTCTCGAAAAACTTGGTAGTAGAGTCGAAATTTCTTCCTAAAGTCTATTAAAATTTGTCCTTTTTTCGAAATGTAATATATATTCTAAGAGACAAAACTTTACTACTTTTTCCTGTGATAAAAAGTCCACTTGAATTTATTGTCGAAAGAATAGATTTTCTGAGAGAAGAGACTCCCTTAAGGATGCAAGTGCAGAAACATTAACTATTTGACATTCTAGAAGAGAATAAACACAATGACTGTAGGACTGAAAATAAACGAGTTTTCATCGGAAATTCTGTTATACGACATTCTTGTGCACGGAATATTGAAGGATAAATTATTATTTTCTTTCGATATATTACTTCATTAATGAGCATGAGAAACAGGCACGAAAAGCTAAACAAAAGAGAAAAAAACCATTAGTAAGATGTGTCTTTCCTGATAAAATGCCATGCAAGTTTTCAGTATGTATGATGAATATTTGTGAGCTCTGTCTTTTTTTCCTTGAATATCTTGTCATAATTCCTGACTTTGTATACTACGTCATTTTGACTCTCTTTTGCAGAATATTTGAACAACAACCATGACATTGAGTGAAGTCAGAAGAAAGAAATGATAGTATTTTCCAAGGACATATCGAGGACAAAAAGAATGGTCTTATCAATATTTGTCTTTTTGCAGCATCATTGTTTTGAAATATTTTGTAGCTTTTTCTTTTTCGAGCAGATAACATAACATAACTCTGTCAAATGTTAGCTCATGACATTCAAAACGACGAACTTTGCTGATGTACCGATAGAGATATACAAGAACAACTTTTTCATTAGTCAAAGAACTAAAAACATATGAAAGACAAGGCAGGACGAACGGATATTGAAGAACTGTTATTGAATTAGTTAATACATTTGTTTCATCTTCTGAGATAGGTGGATTTATTTTATCATGACATGGCGAACTGTTGTCCTACGACTTTTCGTCGTCTTTATCATTCAAATCAACCTCACAAGGTGTGCTCTCAACCACTATGCCATTAATGATCGATTGGGAATTTCAATGTTTTAATCTAACATGTTAATCATTCAGTATTAGCATGGCGTCGGATAAGCTCTCCTGTAAACTGGCATATTTGGCTCAAAATATAATGTCGTACGATCAAATTTCGTCAAATAAATAATCAGAATGAACTATATGCCTAAGTGCCAAATAATGATGATAGTCTGTTATCAATCATAGGCACCGTAAGCATGATCCTCATCAATGAAACCTTATAGAACCTTCCAGTTAGTATGAACAGGTAACTTCTTTGAGAGAAACCTATTCAGAATACCGAATCGAAATATATTTCATACGAATGAAAAGCGATGTTTATCAGTAGTTATTATACTAAGAGATTGATTCGATCAGACGAACATATTCGGTACGTTTTATTGCTGGTGATGACCGATGTTACATATGGCTAGATGAGGAAGTGTAGAATCTGTGCTTCGCCCGGAAATCAAAGTAGAAATATTCATATCCATAATGTGAGCTGATAGTTTACTGAAACATAAGAGCTAAGTTAAAAAGGAGGTGATATTTAATATTCTGATCGGTTTCTTAACGGAGCAAGCGAATTTCGAAAGCCTTCAAAACAAAATCATCAAGTTTTTGCAAATGTTTGGTAAAACTGGAGTTGCTAGCTACAACCAGCTAGTTTAATCTGAAAATCAAATGAAATATGAAAGAGTAGTGATAGAAGAGAAATTCTTTCCTAAGTAACTTTGCCTTAGAACAGAACTGAGACAATTGAATCCTAAGAAATTACCTCGAATAAGCTAAGCATGGGTTGACGTAGATGGAAGAAATTTTTTTCCATCTAATATCATCAACAAGAATGTTAATCACAAATGTTTTTCTCTTTGCTAATATCAACAGATACTGGCTTCGATGTATCGCACTAGTCGACTTTAAAATTAGTTTTTTGATGTTTTCAAAACAAAATAGGAACGAATCAATGAGACATTTCAATTGTACATACGTCATAATGAATCTATTCAAATACAAGTAATGAATGGACTGAAAAATTTCTACAGAAAATATTTATTCAGTTTTGATTTACTTGAAAGTATTCCATATGAGTAAAAAGACTATAGACTAAAATTAATATTTTGCTCTCTCATTCTTAATATCAACTGAGAGATTTTGCATCAGTGTTTATGTCAGAGTATTGAGAGAATCTTTCAAAGGTCTAATAGATTAGTCAGAATAATTACTCAAGAAGTTTTCGCAAATCTCAAATTATTATCTTCGAAAGATATTGAAAATCCTCGGACGTAGCAGTTTGATAAAGCGAACATTTCGTTAAAACCTTATGATATTAAACTAACTTGTAACTTATCAAGGCGAACGTCTTTTCTCAAATATCAACAGCAAGATATATCCTGATCTTGTAACTTTTTTTCACAGAGAAACGTTTGATTGTTTACACGAGCCGCATACATTATTTATGTCATTTTTTAATTATCATTTTCAATGATAATTAGTGATATGAAACAGTTTTATTTCTAAAAGCAAAGCGCTTATTCTATTGTTTGGGCTATTTTAAACGTACGTCTTGTGCGATTCTTAAGAAATTATATGATTTCAACACGAAGTTTTGATGAAAATTTACACATTCAGAATCATAAAACGGAACAGAAAACGTTGAAGCAGTTCTAATGGTTGTTGTCGTAAACATTGTAATGTCATTGTTGATTACATGGGACTGGGATGGAACGTTGGAAAAAATTCTGAGAAAAAAAAACATTTGCAAATTATTTTGTCAATTATATTGCGTTTGCAGTTTGAAATTGAATTTTGTTTGTTCAAGAACTTCAAAAAATGAAGCCTATGAACGATTAAAAACTTATTTGCATTCAGCTCTACTCACTTTAGTCAATGATGAAAAAAAAGCATCTGCCGAATAACGAACATTTTGATCGGAACCGTTACTTTTCATTTGTGAACAGAATAGCGAAAATATGGGAAAGCTTTTTCACATTAATTTATAAGCTTTCGGAAGAGACTACCATTATTCTTGCAGAAAAAATTGACGTAAACTGTTTGATTCCGTATTTAGTTGTACCTTCTTGTTTCTTTATTTACTTGAAATAATATAAAGTAAGTTAACAAAAAAGAAAATAAACAGTTTTTTCAGAAACTTTCAACCAATTTGTTATAGCATCTTCATTTTAAATGTTAAATTCAATGTAATTCCGATGGTCGCACGGGATTCTTTAAACCTTAAGACAAGGACATCAACAGTTATCGTTGTGTCCTCCCTAGTGAAATTACTCGTCTAGCGAGTACTCAAAAAGTAATCACGCTAAAAAATGCCATGAATACTTATCAGTACTCATGGGTTTGAGTACTCATCAGTAGTACTCGTGCTAGAATCTGAGTACGACTGTCGAGTAGTCGTCGTGAAAAATCGAGTATTTTGAGAGTATATATCATACATATTCTGAGTACTCTGATAGATTTTTTTGCAAAATGCTCATAGACATATATTTTGTTCAGTACTGTTATACTATATTCGTTTTATATTATTAAACTATTGGCAATGAAGTACAAATTTACATGATGAAAGTTTGATGCTACATTATGTTTTTAGTTTTTCTATAAAGTATATAAATAGACTTTTTATCTTCAGCAAAAAAATCTGCGCATAAAAACACTTATTGAAGATAGTATAAAACGCTTAACGACAAATGAGTGTTAAACTATTCTCGAAATTAAGACGTGCGATAACAATAAACGCAAATATTAATTTCATAACTAGATTCAATTTAATTATGTATGGAAAAATAAAAAGAAGATCAATTTATTGTTCTTAGTATGAAGCTGGTTTCGTAAGAGTACCGGGGTCTAAGTGATCTTTATCAAAAATTATTATTTACCAACTGATTCATTAATCTCATTGATGAATCCAAATATTCTTTATTAATCTGAAAGAATATTTTATCTGAAATTTAGAAATTGGCATTGAACGAATTATTGTTTGTGTATCTACATACATATTTAATCTTACTCGAAAAGAGAATAGTTGAAAATGAAAAGTGTTTTTCTCTGTTTGTTAAATAGCTACTCATGAAAGCGGTAGAAGTGACTCATCAGTGAAAAGTGGAGAATAAAATAGATAAGTCGTCAAGTTACTTTTTTTTCCATTTTTTATTTAGTTTCAACATTTTCCCTTTTTTTTAGAACTTTATTTTGCTTTTTACATGCTAATGCATTGATGTTTTATTTTATATTCTGTCAGAAAACGAGGATGAGTGCTCGCTCGAGTACACGAAAAGTATATTTACACATCAAATTTCTTGAGTACTCGAACGAGTAATTTGAGTACTCTTGCTGACAAGTGTTTTCACTAGGGCTATCTATAACGCGGTTATATCCGATAATCTGACAATCCGATCGCTCGTCTTGGAGACTCGAAGTATAATATAGTCTAATAATTCTCGTGAAGAGACCGTAATGGTTAGTGAGTATCAAAAATCTCTCGAAAAATTCAAACAATTTATAGCGTTTTCTGTTTTCTAGTGGATATTTAGTTTAAACAGTGCTTTAATAGTGCACATTTTAAAGGAATTTGTAAGAGCTTGAAATTCGGCAGAAACAAAAGCGTATTCAAATGATTGAGACATAAAATGCTTGCAAGTGTTTTAATTCCTTTTAGTTGTAGCTTTTTTAGTCGTTCGATAATATACAGGTTCTTTAAAATAATCAAAAGTGAAAATACAAGTACTTTTTAGTTGCTTATAGCTCGGTAAGTTTCTCTTAGTCATTGGACAATTACCTACAATTGTAGACATTTTTGCATGAGTAGGCCCATAACACGTCTTTGTGAGTACAGGTGAGAATGTGACTGGCAGCGTGGATGGACACAATACATATTCATAAACAGATACACTCGCAGTTACTGACAATTATTCAGACTCAATCCACTTCTGCTTGATAAGTTGATGAGGCAGGATGAAATCACGATAACTGTATTTGGATTTATATTCTCCCTTCAAGAATTAATAAAGGTTGCTTTCAAAAGGAGATGAAAAGTATGACTGCAGGGTCTTTGTGCAACATTTGCAAAAGAATCACGTATTGAAAAGAAAGATAACCTTGCCCTTATCTTGTGATTTATGAGGACTTCGTTTTAGAAAAAGAAAGAAAAAAAGCAAGGCTGTATAAAACATTTAGTATTTATCAAGCATTTTATCTCACTTCAGTTCTCGTCGGTAATAAGAAAGAGGATTTCTAAATAGTCACACGGTGTCCCAAGTACTTCTCTGAGCGGTAGTGTATCTGTCACACAAAATCATCGATTTGTCAATACAGACGATGGAGACGCAGTCATTTGTACTATTACTGTGCGTTCTACTTCTTGGCTTCAAACCTACCAATGCAGCAACTTTGAGATTCAAGAAGAATATGGATGCAACGGTTGAGTACTATAAAAAACTCATAGTTGGTGATACTAGCAAGCTTTCTGAGCTAAATATTTTCTTAACAGCCATGCCTAAAGGCGGTGATTTGCATCATCACTATTCAGGCTCTATATATGCTGAAACGTATTTAAACTGGGTTGGCACACATAACTATTGTGTCTACCGTGAAGATAATGCAGCATTAAATATCCAAAAGTACAGGATAGAAAGTAAAGTATCCGAGCTATCAAGCGCAGCTAAGGCTCTGTGCATAACTGCTGATGCTATACGTTCAGATAACGGCTTCTATCGTGAACTTTTGAAACGATGGTCTGATATTGATTACTTCAACCATTATCATGAACAACCACCGCCAGATCAACAATTTTTCGATACTTTTGGTTATTTTGACCCAGTCGCTGATAGTAACTATAATGAAGGTTTTTTGTGGTTAAAAAATACTGCCATAAGTGAAAATGTACAGTATATAGAAACAATACTGAAAAATGGTCCAAATCTCGTAGTGGCAGATGAATTGAACGTCATGTTAGATGCTTTGACTTCGAAATCGGCCGACTACGAAATAGACAGGGCACTAACAGCCTATTTCAATGCTGTTGTAAATGATACTCATGCCAATTTAACAATCAATAATTATGTGAAAATGATCGAGACATCAGCAGATGGAATTAATGATGCCAATTTTACACTACGTTTTCAAACTTATGTATTCAGAGGCGATTCACCTTCCCGTGTATTTTCCAGTCTATTCTCTTCTTTTTCAGCAACCATGCGTAGTGATCTCATAGTCGGTGTCAATATTGTTGGTGCTGAAAATGGTATCGTATCGATGCGAGACTATACACTTCATATGAAAATGTTTCGCTTTCTCAAGCAACGCTTTCCCCTTGTGAAACTTGCTATGCATGCAGGGGAGCTGGTGTTGGGTCTCGTGCCCCCAGAAGGTTTGCAATTTCATATCCGTGAAGCGATAGAAATTGCTGGAGCAAGTCGCATTGGACATGGTATCGATATATTTTATGAACATAATTCCTATGAGCTATTACAAAAGATGAAGCAGCTCAATATAGTAGTGGAAGCGGTTGTAAGTAGCAATGAATTTATACTGGGTATTAAAAATGGTGCACATCCAATGTTGGTATACAAAGCACACGGGGTGCCTTTAATAATTGCCACGGATGATGCGGGTGTATCACGCTCTACTTTGAGCAATGAATACCTGATGTTTAGCGATCGTTACAAGCCAAGTTATGCAGAACTGAAAGAGCTGGTTTACAATAGTATTCGGTTTGCTTTTCTGAGCGATAGCGAGAAACAGCAACAATTGAACAAACTGGATGCTCGATTTCTAGATTTTGAAGAGATGATTGCAAATGTAGTTAGCACATTGAGTGAGCCAGGTGTTACATACTGGGGTTCGTCTTAAGAACATAATGTGTCACAGATGATTTTATTTTACTATTCATTGTGTCTTTTAATCGAACTTTTTCATGATCAGTCGAAATAAAAACCTGAAGATTTAAGAAGCTTTCTGTCAGAGAGATATGGTAAAATATTCGAAGTTACCAAAAAATAAACTTTCTTTTATCACGTTTCACGACTACTTCGAGTGAAGTTTGACCAGTTTTCGTTAACATAACCATCGATTATTCACTCTTCTGTACTCAATGACGAAGATTTTTCTATACTTCTTATTTGTATATGTCTCTAAAGACCATTTTTCAATAACATTCTTGTAAAGACTCGTATTTGTTATCGTAAATATCCCAGATTGTAAAGCACTTCGATATGATACTGATAAATATCAAATAATTCGCAAAGCAAAACTGTTTTGAGACTTGTGAGTAAGAACGCAAGCAGGAATTCATAAATGGCATTCAGCATGAAAATGACGAAAATATGAGGTTTTTGCAATTTCTGATCTGACATGGCTTTTTGTTGATTTTTAAATGCCATTGTTCGATAGAACATAAGAAACTATACATGTCGAAAAAAAAACTGAAGTTTCTTCTAGTTGTTTTCATGAAGAGGGAGGGAACCAAAGATGAGAAAATAGCACGAAAATAACGTAAAGCCGGAGTTTTCGGATTTCTGACCTCAAATTACCTCTGTTTCTTTCCTTTTTAAAACCATAGTTAAATACAGCATGAAAAGTTACATACACAGAAGACACTTAGAATTGCTTTTAGCTTGTTTCATGAAGAGACAAGGATTCAAAGATGGCACATACCAAGAAAAATAAACCAATTTGCACCCTTTGATCTCAAATCATAAGACAAAATTATGGTGCTTTAGCATTTTTCTGTTCATTTTCAATTAGAATATGTAGTTTCACATATATAGTGTAAGTTTTTTTTTATCAATCCCAGGGATCAAGTGGTCGATTACGAAGCTGTAAGGTTAGCTTTCAACTGTAAAGATCTTCTTGAAATATTAAGATTTTTTAACTAAAAAAACATTCATGAGCTTTCTAATGATGATATTCGTAATCAGGACACTCTACTCTATAAATAAGAATACATTGTATCCGAATCAGATTAAAAGAAACTCGGTATCACGGTGGGAACCACAGGTCCCAAATTTTTTTTTTCTGTAGTTTGAAAAAGAACCTTTAAAATGTGATTAGAGCCCATACCTAACTTCATTCCAATAAAAAAGAAATCCATTTCATTTGGGACAAAAGAATAGCCATATCCGCCCTAGTCCTTTGTGCTACTTCTTAAGTTCCAACAATTCATGCAGCTGGTTCAATTGTTCAGAGAAATGATGCAATATTCGAACTACTTGTGATGATTATTACAAGATATATGTGACTTTTTTAAAATCAAATCATATCTGACAAAAAAAAGCATCGTCTTCGATTTGGTAACCAATAATATGATTTTCTGATACTATACCTAGGCAGCCAAACTTTATTAAACATGATAAGTCGCAGAAACATGACGAATATATATGATAATACTAGGTAGTCAATATTGGATTTGTGAGAAATAGCTGAAATGAAGTTCTCTCAAATAGAACATTCATACCATTGAAGAATCTGTACTGATTGCAATTCGACACAGCAAGTCAGATTTAAAATGTTACTTCTTTCATTTGCGTGATATACTGAGTCAAATATTATTGTAAAAAGTGACAACTAATGTTAAATCAATGTCAATAATTTTCTAAGACTATTATTCATAGGATGAAAAGAAAAAGATCATCAAAAGTTGTCACTATCATAATCGACTCTAATTTTATATGTAAATCTTTGCTATTTCCATTAAAAAAAGTATCATATTACATTTATATTTATATTACTAGTGGAATCTTATATTTTCTGATTTTTTATTATTCCTACTTCATTAATAAATCGAATCAAACAAACGGTCTCTGATCATTATATTCGATTTTATAGCCAAGATGATGTTTTTTCGTTGCACAAATCATATAAACAGGATCGTCAGAATACTTCTTATCACTAATTTGTTTGCTTATGGCTGATCATACCTATTTATTCAAAAACTTGCTGAAGTGAAAAAGAGATTAGCTCTCCGTTTTAGATCTAGTTTTATGTTCAAACTTTTCAACTTTTATTGCAACCGATTTTATTTTGGTTCTGTGGGAAATCTTTTCAATAAAAATAAATGTTTTCTTTTAGATTTTATATTTCAGTTGTTGTGTATATAATATTTTTTGTTGCAAAAGTGATGGCTCTGAATATGTATTCGTCAACGATATTGGATATCTGAATCAACAAAAATGATTAATAGTGAAATCAAATTATTGACATTTATTTTAGAAGAATTACATGAATATGCTGTAAGTAAACTTATGATTAACAAAATATTTCGATTTAAGAAGTATATTGAATTAATTGCTTTATTTCTATTTTTAAGGTCAATAATAATGTAACATCATTCAATTCATTTTATTTTTTTTTTCAAATTGTTAAATTCAAATATTCGTTTAATCGAAAAAGCAACTAATCAATTTGACTAAACTAAAGAACAGTAAAATATTGAACAAACAATCTATCAAAACTTTTTGTCTAGTAACTTTAAAAACCTTTGTATATTAGATAAGAGAATAAATTTTGATTCCCATTTGTAAGTATTTATAAGTCAAAGTTATTTAGAAATTAGTATAAAAAAGTTTATACATTAATTTTTAGAGCTAAAATTCATATAACACTATCAGTAAGTTCGTAGCTTTTTTCTTTTGAACATTAATCTTTAACGTAAAACTTTTGCTTTTTTTGTCGATAATGTTTAGAGGATGATAGTAATGAAAGGAATGAGGGTATCGGCTAGTTTCATAATGATATTTAATCATATTTTGTAATACAAATCAAATCTGATGATATTATATTCGACTAGTCATTTCATTTGTTGTTTCTCTTTTATGAAATAAAATTCAGTTGAGAGACTTCTTCGTTTTTCTTCATTAGAAACTTTTGAAGCTTTTTTTCAAAAATTTGT